CTGGGCTGGTGTCACTGGCTACGACCCTTCTCTTGGTCCCATTCCTGGCATGACACGTACCTCTCTCGGTGCCTGCCAGGTGCCTCCTACAGCTGTTGACAACGACACTACCGTGCCGACAACTATGGTGACGAAGACGTGCAAGAGTTCTTAGTGAAGGCAAGAAGTCAACAGCGACGACTTTAACGCGGTCTGAATTCCACGGGTACACGAGACATTTAGTCTGGAAACATGGGTGGGTGGGTGTTTTGGCGGGGGAAGCTACGAAGAAGCAGTTCTCAGGTTGATTTCGAAATAGAAGATTGCCATGCAAACCAAGGAATACTGATTTTTCAACATTATATGCGTGAACGTGAACGAATGATATGTACTGAAGAATGGGTGAAGTATTTACGATGTTGCCGTCTTGTCTGACCTCCCCTTGAGCCTGACCCTACTCCTAGTCCCTTGACGAGATAAAATTTTCTCTCAGGCGGCTGCTCACATCCGTATCAGTTCCACTCAATTCACAAGGTTTCTCACACTGTAGACTCACCGGGTCCAGTGACAGAGGTTGTGATAGCGGTGTCCTCCACATAGACGCCAGAGAAGTAGAAATCTTCATTGGTGTCGGCGTATCCATCACGGGGAAGCTCGAGAACGCCCAGATGCCAGTCCGCGCCGTTGGACGACGTCGAGGCCGAGACGGGAGCCACGACCTGCTGCAGAGGGGCACTGCCCTCAGAGTGCCAGAAGCCGACGCTTCCGCTGGAGAAGTTCTATAACACATTTGTGTGTAAGTTCATACTTCTCTTCGAGACGTGGAGAACCTTCTTCCCTCCCCGATACTCAAGAAACAAAGGGGCTCAAAGTCAAACTCACAATCTCATAGGCGACATTGTGCCACACATCCGGCTTCCACTCCGTCTTCCACAAACTCTTCTGCTGCACCATGAACTGCAGGTTCGTGTTATTCGTCGCCGACTCGCCGCTGATCCACCCGCTCTTGAGCTCAGTGAAGTGGCTCTCGAAGAACGCAATCTGGTGCTCGCGGAAGATGCTCGGCGCGTTGGTGTCCTTGCGGGAGATGCTGAAGTGGTACCACACCTTGCCCGAGTTGATGGCGGCTTTAGTCTGCGGGATGAGCTCGGTGCGCCGCATGTTCTGGCCGTTCCAGTAGGCCGTGCTGTCGAGCGTGATCTTGACCCCTTGCTTCGACGCCGTGTCGGCCGGGTTCTTGTAGGACGGTGAGAGGTTCACGTATTTGGTCACGTCGCCGGACCCGTGGATGTAGTACTGGTAGGGCCCGACTTGGTTGGACCAGGACCACTTGTTGAGGTCGGACGAGGTGTTGAAGTCGTTGAAGCGGCCGTCCCAGAGGACTTTGGCGGAGGTTAGGGGCACGAGGGTGAGGAGGGCGGTGACCTTCATCTTGGGCGGTTGGAGTTGGTTGAGGGGATTTTTGGAACGAGTGATGCTTGGCTGACGAAACCAAAATTATCCCAAACGTCGCCGGACAGGCTGATCACTTTTATAACATTCACAGACTGAGCCTTACACGGCAACCCGGGACGGGGGAAATATCACGACATCGAATATAGTAGCTCGGCGAACTATAGCAAACAAAGGGGGTAATGCTTCAGGCACGAACAGGTCACGAGTAATATAAACACACTCCGGACGGACCGTCTAGCCAGGGATGTTCATGGGGGGAAGGGGGAAGCTTATTTATCTACGTCGCATTTGTTCGGACAGCACCCTCCGATCCCATCGTATAAGCCGTAGACGTTGATTTGGGGAAATCTGAATGCACGGGAGATTTAGCCTGTATGGAATTTAAAGCCTCCCACCCCCACACGAACATGAACATGGGACAAAAAAGGGGATTACGTTATTCTATGGTTAGGGCATGCTGGTCTGACGAGAAACCTTGATTGAGAAGCACTGTTTTGATGTGTCCACGGCCCATGTTGAAGCAATGTTTGCAAGAAAAGACTTGCATGATATCGTGGCGTGAAGGTCTGCAACTCTACGGGTGTACATGACCTTGGAATTCCTAAAGTGACCACCTTTACGAAAAGCCACCATCAGCCAAGAAAAGCTTGTTCTGCATCATGTACCGCTCGAGTCGCCTTTTGTCCCGTCGCCAAGTCTGGCGTTCGGAGGCAAGTGAGTAGGGTGGTGTCCCAAGACGCGCCGCAAGGGTCACATTCGGAAGCAACCCAAGACTGATAGGTATCTGTCGCGCGGACACACACGGCAAGGTTTGAGGAGGTGAGGTTTGTTTCTAGCTGCCTCTTCGAAAGCCACAGCCCCGGATGGGAGCTTGAGAGAGCTCATGTGGGGCAGACGCGGTAGAGCTCAGTGAAGAATTGATATCGCGTACATCTTGAGTGCAAACACCTTGACCACTCATAGCTCGCTATCTCGTAACTTTGAAGGCGCTTCTTCTGTATGCTGAGGTAGACTAACGGATATGTATGGACGATGCGGCTCGGGTTTGAACCTACGTTGCTCAGTACGTGAAGCATCGTAAGGATCACCGTAAACTTTCCGGATGTACACTCTCGAGCTTTCTCCTCCACATGAAGATGATGATCACGCTGGCAAGTTTACGAGCTTACTCTGACTTTGGCGTCTAGGCCGGAGTGGTTCTTAACCACAAGAGAACCCCCGTCTCTACCAATGTCCTCCAGCTGGCAACTATGATACCCATCAGACCACCTTGTGTAAACGTGTAGACGCGGATATTAACCTTCTATAGGATTTATTCAAGGTCAAAGAGAGGCATATGGCACCGTAGATGAAGAAGAAGGAGCAGGAACCTCTGCGTCCACTGCAGAAGAGATGCGTATAAAATCCGCTCTTCTGATTCTATCTAGTCTCTCTCTTTTTCTTCCCCTACAACCATCATTCTGCTCTGCATCCCTGCAACTCAGCTAGGTAAGCAGACATCACTGACTACCTCACACTTATAAGCCAGTCACACTAACACTACCAACTGACTTAAGATACTTGACCTTACGCCGAGAACATCAACAGCTAGGTCTCTGTAGCCATCAGCTCTAGGTATGTATACATCACAGAATACCTTACACTTGTAATCCAGCTACTAACACTGCTCTCTTATTCAAGATACTTCACATTGAACACAACAAGATGGTCGCCACCAAGACCCTCCTCGCCGCCACGGGCACCCTTGCCCTGGCCAGCGCCTCCTCCTTCACCACCATCACCACCACCAGCACGGAGCCCGCCACCGCCGCCGCGACCATCACCGCCCCCGTCGCCCCGCCCATGCCGTACTCCGGCTCCGGCCCGACCGAGGCCATGATCGCCCGCCGCAGGGCGTGGTGCACGGAGTACAACGCCGAGAAGCGCCGCGCAACGGGCTGGTACGAGAGCCCGGACGAGTACGCCGGCGCCATCGCCTACTGCGTCCGCTTCTACCTCGACGAGTACAAGCTCAACCCGTCCAAGGCCGGCTGGATCGAGGAGTCCATGGACAGGACCCTCGGCCGCAAGAAATTCTTGGTCGCCGACTTTGAGAAGAAGGCCGGCCCCGCCCCGACCGCCACGCCCGTGGCCAATGCTGACGCCGCCGCCTCGAAGAAGGAGGATCCCGTCAGCGAGGATCCCGCGACCGAAGACGAGATCCGCGTCAACACTGCCAAGATGGCGGACATCCTCAAGGAGAGCCTCGGACTCACCGACGAGCAGCTCATGGAGCTGGGCTTCAAGCTCGGCGAGAGCGGCTTCTTTTTGGTGCATGCCCCCGAGGAGGACCCCGAGGCTTCCTCTTCCCTTCTTTGGCCCCCCAAGTTCGGTCGCCTTGCCCGCCCTCTCGTGCCTCACCCCTTGCGTAAGCATCTCGGCAAGGAGCCCGCGGCTAAGGGGCCCGTTGCTACCCAGCCCAAGGTTGAGCAGCCGAAGCCCAAGGTTGAGCAGCCCAAAGTCGAGCAGCCGAAGCCCAAGGTCGAGCAGCCCAAGGTCGAGCAGCCCAAGGTCGAGCAGCCGAAGCCCAAGGTTGAGTACCAGAAGCCCAAGGTAGAGGATGAGCCACCCGCGGCTAAGGAGCCCAAGGGAAAGGAAAAGGCGATCGCGGTTGAGCAGCCAGCGGCCAAGGAGCCCAAGGGAAAGGAGCCCGCGGGTGAGCAGCCCAAGGTCGATCAACCCAAGCCCGAGCAACCCAAGCCCGAGCAACACAAGCCCGACCAGCCCAAGGCCGACGAGCCCAAGTCCAAGGACACCAAGTCCAAGAAGTCCAGAGAGGACGAGGAGTTCCAACACCACGACCACCCTCACGGCGGCCACCACGCCCACCCCCACCACGACGAGCACGACAAGGAGAAGGAGGAGGAGGAGAAGAAGAAGAAGGAGAAGGAGGAGGCGATGGCGAAGCACCCCTACCACCCCGACCACCCCCCCTTCGAGGAAGAGCCCGTGGCGGATCACCCCACGCCGAATCCGCCGAAGGAACTCCCCGATCACATCTAAGTACGGGGCTGATGTCTTTCTCTCGGGCCTCCTTCGAAAGATGAAGAACTTGGCACGACAACCAATGTTCAGTTCAGTTTCTTTCGCGGGGGGGCTGACATGCCTCACTCGAGAGGCCTACGATTTCTTTTGTGTTTCCTATGTCTTTGGGGAAAAGTTTGATTTGGTAGTTTTGTTCGTTACACTGGCTGAAGTCGTCGAGTCCCCTCCCAAAAAAAACCACTCGGAGGACGAATGTATCCCAACGATCCGGGCCATTATGGGCACCTGTTGGTAGTAGAAATGGCCAAAGGCCACTGGGAAATACGCACCTTTGCGTACATCAATTAGCCTTAGCAAATCGCCAGTCAGTTAATAGTAAAGTTTAATCAGCCTTCTACATTTGTGACGTACCTTTACCAAGGTGGATGAGCCAGACCCACACCGTCGGTGAACCCCCTTCCATATGTCGGTGTCTGTCCATGATTTTGATACATACACACGTGGCTTGAAAAGCGAGGAAACGTAGACATTTGAAGCTTTCTTGTGGTATTACTCTTTCTACCAGCAGACTCAGAAGCCCTTGTCCAGTAAGGTTGTGTACAAAGGTCACCGTTGCTGACCTCTCTCAACCCCTTCACACTTTCCACAAAAGCCTTGCTTCTGAAGCTTATCTTCTTCTTTCTCTTTCAAGTCGTATCCTAATAAAACACTTCCAATCGGAACTCCGGCCATTCCTACCCTGCCTCACGAGCAGAGTCTGAACTCCTAAATCTGTAAAATCGGCAAGAAACGCGTTCTGACCTCCCCTGGTTCCCATCTATCCATTCCACCGCTAGTGATGATGATGTCCTTTCCTTTTTTTCTTCTACAACCCATAGACGAAATGGAATGGATTGATCTCTTGTACAGTGCCGAGTGTGCTGATTTGGCAACGCCATCGTCCTTAGCTCAAGGTTGCCTTTATTTCTGGAAGGCCCCCCCACAGGTGCTGGGAATAATAACTAGTATTTAGACCTGCTCTCCGGACGCAATACCGTGACGGGGTCATCCCCAAATCGTCGATTCGGTGCTGATGCCAATGGCCCTAGGTGAACATGGCTGCACCTTCTAGAAAGCTAGGCTCGAGCCTTGAAATTGCTTGGCATAGATATCACTCAGGGCTCGCGCCCGAATGTAATCGTCTTAAGTCGTTCCAGGTGCCGTGTCTCTGCCTTCCCTAGCATCCACCTTTTGACGATGTTGCTTATTGCGCAAGTGAACCTCAAAGTTGCCTGCCGTCATTTCCGGCCCAGGTGTGTACAACTTGCCTGGGCAGTCAAGACAGCGGATACGGGGGAGGAACATCCATCTGGCACCTTCGGGAGGCTGTGACCCTGCTGGTACTGATATCGGCATCTCTGTGTCAGGGTTGATGGCTGAGTACTTCATCATGCCCTCAAAGTTGTCAAAGGTATATGTTTGCTTCAGCTGCTGCAAACAGTTCTTTAGCCATTCTGGCGGCGGGGGCTATCGAGTATGTCAGTGTGCTTTCCTAGTTGAGGTCTAATATGTCCATGACTTACAGCAGGTGGTGGCGGTTGACCGGCAACAGGTGGCGGAGCAGGTTGTCGACCAATTTGGCCTTGCGGAAGAGGAGTGCCAAGTTGAGCGGGAAGAGCCTGACCATTTGAGGCCGGCGTAGACGGCGGAGGCATGGAGGTTGCTGCAGCCGCGGCCGCGCTAGGTATGCGAGTGTGTGCGGGTGTCGACGGTGTCTGGGAGCCACTGGGGGTGAACCTTGCTCTTGGGTTCTGGAGAAGTCTCCTCAGCTTGTCCTTGCCAACCTTCAGTGTAACAATAAGTTGTGTAGGCTCTTCAGTCTCGTCGCGAGTATCGCGAAGGGAGCGGCCAAGGTTTCTGCGAGTCTCGTGATGATGAACGATGCTCGCTTCAGGCGTTTCGGAGCGGCCGAGATTCGTGATGCGTTGCTGAGCAGCACTCGCGGCGCCCCGAAGGCCTCTCGTCCTGGCCGTGCCGCCAAGCTGAGACACGCCTGGCGAGTCCGGTCCTGAGTCTTCACTATCGTCAGAATCGGAAACCTCGCCATCGCGTGCTCCTGGCCTCTTGCGGGTGGTGGGTGGCGCGCCGGCCACACGCTTGTACAACGTGCTCTCTTCCATATTAGGCGCGGCACCTGGAAGCACGGACGAGACGAGGAGCGTCCTAATTGTCCGCTGCCGTTCCTTGAGGTCCGGCAGTTGAGGGCCACCGCGTCGGTTGATGGATCGCTTCTGCCGTCTTTGTTCCCGAGAGAAGATGACCTCATTGCGCTCCAAATCGGCGTCACTGAGCTCGTAAAGATACGGCGCGTATTCCTTGGCTTGTTGCTGCGGTCTGAATACAGATGGCAGCGGAGACGGCAGGAAGGCGGCAATGAGATCGGGGTCTTCGACCGGTCTGCCGTCAAAGGGATGTCCAACACTGTACAGACTCCGAGTGAAGAGTTGGCACTGCTCCCGAATGCAGTGGGCAATTGCGGTGGTGAACTCGCCGGACAGTGACATGTCGCGAGTCATTGAGGCGGCAAACTCCTCTGGGGAGTTGAGTGGATTGTTGATATCCCACTCGAACTGGTCGACCAAGGTCACGCCGCCAATGGTGACATTGAGCTTGATCAATATCCTCATCTCGTCGTTCTTGTAAGCAGAATATGGCAGCTCCGGGTCGAGCGCGTCTTCTTCGGAGAAGACTAGGGGGTAAAAGTCGTTGAGCTGGTCGCGCATTTGTAACGTGACCTGGTCCAAGACGGGTTTGTGCTGTGCGTCCAGAGGGATGCCCAGATCCTCGACAAGGTGCTGCGCAAAGAGTTCGCCTGGAATGACCCTGTCGTGGAGGTTCCATGTGAAGGTGTCGCGAAGCTTTATCTTTTCCCAGTCAACGTCTATGCGTATCGGCACGAGCTCCTCGTGTTGCTCCGCCTGCTTCTTCAGCTCTCTCTTTTTCCACCTGAGCGGATGCGACTGGCGCTTCCCCGGCCGCGGCTTCTGGCTCGGATAGATGACTTGGGCAGGAAAGGGCGCTCGCATGCGGGGATCGATGTCGGTGTAGCCGTTGCCGTAGCCACGGTATCCTTCGCCATATAATTTGCTCGGAGGGAAGTACAAGCGTTGTGTTTTGATGAGGTTGTAGTCATCAATCTTGTCTCTCGTCTGTTGCATGTCCTTCTCGAACCGTTCCTGGGCGTCCTTCATCGCGACAGAGTAGTGCCAGTCGCGCGTCACGTAGCGCTCGACCTGCAATTTGTTGAACGAATCCTTGTCTCGTACTGGGAGGGCCTTGGCGGCGGCGGAGCGAGGAGTGCCATCGTGATCGTTGGCGGCGGACGCAGAGGTTGATGCCGAGGACGAGGCTGTCGCGCCAGCCGCGGTAGGCGTGGACGTGGATGGCGGCGCGGCCATGATGAAGATATGTGCAGGGTCCCGAATCGCCGCAGCGATGCGACTGCCGAGACGTCGAAAGGAAGACGCGCGATCGGGCCTGGGTTCGTATTGGGCGCGTGTCGTGGCGGATGCCAATTGACGATGGCTCCAAAGTTCACTTGGGGATGAGAGGTGGATTCTGCTACGTCTGTCGCAGCCTCTCTCTCCTGCGCAGCGTGTTGGTGTTGAACCGGGAAAGGCTGGCACGGATGTGGCTAACGCATCCCATGTATCGTGCTGGTGTTTTGGCCGCGAATGGTCTATCTTGAACGACAGGGGGACTTCTGAATGTTAGTGCAGACTGACCAATGCGGCACCCAGGGGAGCTCAGGTCAGCGCCAATCGCAACCTGGAAAATTTCCCAGTTCAGGTACCGAGCGAGCAAAGTATCTTGCCTCATAAATCAGCCGTAGAGCTACATCTAACGTCCTCACTCGTGCTTCAGGACGTGACCGCGTTCCTGAACCTCAGCATGTTGGAATCGCACCGCCGCAAGTAGCCACCAATGGCTTTGACGTATTGCAGGATGCGGCTGACGACATGATGGTGTATGTGAGGGCTAAGATAGTCACTTCTTCTGACCTTGCAAATAAGCCTAGCAGCTGGGAAGATGCAAATGATTTACGGGTTGACTAGGTATTGTGGCCGAGATGGGACCTAAAATCTGGCACGTACAGTTGCGCGATAAGCGCCGTTCTCTTGATGGAAAATACATCTTCTTGCGCTAGATATAGCGGTGTGTGCCCAGCGTGCCTTAGGTTCCTAGACAGATGCCAACGTGAGGCCATTCGCTCCTCCAGAAAAGGAAAGAGGGCATGTCATCTGGTGTGCCTGTTGTGTCGGTACGGGCCGAGCTTTTGCCGGAAACAGCTCCAAGCTCGAAGGAAGGCACAAGGGAAGGTTGCCCTGAGTTCTCAATTCTGTTGCGTGTTTGCTCTTCAGACGTGTGAATGAATGTAGATGCGTCCTTGGGTGCGCTGGTATCCGTAGAGCTCAGAGCTCGGCACAAAAGTTCTAGTTGTTCACCACGAGACAGTCTTGAGCTTGAGACAGTCACTTAGGTACCTTGGCAGCTCATTCAAAGCACCTTATGGGCCAATTATCGTCATTGCCTCACACGGAGTGCAGTACAGCTCAAGACAAGATTTGAGCAAGTGACCCGCCAAGCATAAAGCGGCACTAATTCATGTTTTCACTCGAGGTTGCATAAAAACACCTCAGCCAAGGTGTCACGGTATTAATGAGAGAGAGAGAGAGAAGAGAGAGACGTGGGCCGTGGCTGGCGCGACACGCGAACAATAGCCCAGCACCGTACGGATATGCGCAAGGCGGTTTTAAGCGATGCGACGTATGCACAAAATTCTCCACCAAAGGTACTTGACGGTACTGGGTTTGCATACCTAGCACACAGAGGTGGAAGGAAGGATCGAGGGAGCACCTGCGTGCCTGCTTGACCTTGACCTGCCCGAGCACCCACAAACAGCAACGAGCCCCTCCTTTCCCCGCCCTGAAAATCGACGTATTTGTCGTCAAAATACTTACGCCCGACACACCAACTTTGCATTGCATCTCTTCTCACGTTCAGTCCTTCGAGTTCTGGACCGGTGCATCGCTATCTCTGAGATATCACTTTCATTTTCTAGTCAATTACCCCAGAAAATACCGCCATCATGTCGGAGGAGATCGGTTAGTACTTCCCTGTTCTTTTTCAAGCTCTATAGAGCATTGCGCGCAGTGCCTGCCTTTTCTCGCATGTTTTTGCTGGTCCCCGTGCTGTTGCTGGTCCTGGTGCTGCATTTGCGTCACATACAAAACAGCCCACGCAGCTACCCCGCCACCACCGAAATACACCACAAACGCACACCATGCTATCCAAAGCAGATGCCCTTGCCTCAAGGGACTCGACGAGGCTCAACGAGACTCGAGGACGACTCGAGGACGACTCGAGCTGCGTCTTCGCCATGGACTAGTAACAAACAACTAACGATCCCCCAGACTACACCCTCAACAACCCCGATACTCTCACCAAGTACAAGACCGCCGCTCAGATCTCTGAGAAGGTCTTGGCTGCGGTTGCCGAGCTCATCAAGCCTGGCGAGAAGATCGTCACCATCTGCGAGAAGGGTGACAAGCTCATCGAGGAGGAGCTTGCCAAGGTCTACCGTGGAAAGAAGGTCAACAAGGGTCTGTTTCCCTCCCTCTCTTCCTTCCTCCTGGTCGTATGCTGCCTACCTTATTCCTGAGCATCGCTGACCTCCTTCGCGTCTTGCAGGTTTCTCCCACCCTACCACCATCTCCCCGGCTTCATTCGTGACCCCCTACACTCCCCTCACTACCGATGAGGCCGAGGCTGCCACTGAGATCAAGGAGGGCGAGCCCATCAAGATCCAGCTTGGTGCTCAGATTGACGGCTTCGGCTCCATTGTCTGCGACACCGTCGTCGCCGGTGAGATCACTGGCCGCACCGCCGACCTGGTTCTCGCCAACTACTACGCCAATGAGCTCCTCCTCCGCTTGATGCTCCCCCCCGGTCTGCTCGCTTCCGGCACCGACGAGGAGAAGGCCAAGGCTGCTGCTGCCAAGGCTCCCACCCAGGCCAAGATCACCAGCCTGCTCGAGAAGGTCGTCAAGTCCTACGACTGCAACCTGGTTGAGAGCACCACCTCATGGCTCTTTGAGCGCAACGAGATCGAGGGCAAGAAGAAGATTGTCCTTGCACCCGCTGAGGGTACCAAGGGCGATGGCACTCCCGAGATCGGTGAGGTCTGGGGTGTCGAGATGGGCGTGAGCTTGGGCGCTGGCAAGGTCAAGACCTTGGAGTCAAGAACTACTCTGCACCGTCGCACCACCACCAACTACGGCCTCAAGCGCCCTACTTCCCGCAAGATCCTCTCCGAGGTCCAGAAGAAGTTCGGAACCTTCCCCTTCAGCTTGCGCCAGCTCGATGACGAGCGCGATGCCAAGTCTGGTGTCGTTGAGTGCGTGCGTGGCAACGTCTTCCGCGCCTACGAGGTTGTTGGCGACAAGGACAACTCCCCCGTCGCCCGCTACCTGTCGACGATTGGTAAGATTTCTCACATGTACAAGAAAGTGCGGCTCAGAGCGCTAACATGTCGATAGCCATCACCAAGAACGGTATCACCAAGCTCGGTGCGCCGCCCGCTCTTGACCTTGAGAAGGTCAAGTCGGACAAGAAGATTGAGGACGAGGAGATTCTCAAGATCCTCGAGCAGCCCCTGTCCAGAAATACCGGAAAGAGCAAGAAGAACAAGAAGAAGAAGAAGCCGGCCAAGAAGGCTGCTGCTGCGGGCGGCGAGGAGGAGGAGGAGAGCGATGAGGAGTAAAGCGATCTCAGTGTAGGAAATGGTGATGACTGTCAATGAGACGAGCAAGGGGGCGGCCCGATTCTACGCCCACAATTTTTGTCGTGAAAGTCAAATGCGTGATTGTGTTCCTTGGGGCAGTCGATGGATAGGGCCATTACCAGGAAGAGGCCGGAAACAGGAACGCTCGCTCTGCTTATCCGACGCCAAAAAAAAGTTGGCTGGCTGGCTGCACGACTGCTTTTTGGAATGCCAAGGAGAGAGCTGCTTGCTCGCGCATCTGAAGCTTCAGCCAGCCGCCACTGCAGCCCGGGTCGTCACCTCAGTCGTCCCACCAGGAGGCACAGCAGGAAAAGCAGCAAGCAGCGTAGCTAGGATTCAACAGCTGCTCACTGATCCATCCAACAGAAGGTGTTGGACTGGATGGAAGCCTGAACTGGCGGCAAGCCCAACAAAGACAATGAAAGTCATCCATCTACTCCGTACCTGCACGCGCTATGCATCCTTGAGCATGCCTGACCTTCTTCCCCTGAGTGCAACTCAACTTGTGAGTCTAGTGTTGGTTGACCGACCACTACAGAGTGGGATAGCAACGTGACGATATGGATGTCTGAGAGAGAGCAGAATGAGAGCGAGACGACAGGGGTATTAATGTCTCGATGGGACGATGAGACGGAGCACGCAAGGTCCCAGGAGACGCCGTCGGCCGGGGGAAGAAGGTGAGCCACGAGAATGGGTGGAACAAAATTGTCCAATTCCAGAGGTCTCCGGTTTCCCGTCCTCGCCGGGGCCCTGGTCGTCGTCGATACGGCAGAACTTAGAAGACCCGCCAGATACCCAGATGGCGGGTGCCCAGCCCCTGGTGATGGAAGGTAAATGGAAGCGGACCTAGAAGCCCGAGGCCCTTGATCTTGGGTTGTACGTAAAGACGCCTGTTCAGGATCAAGAAGTAGGCCTCGTTCTCACTTCTCTACCTTACCTATCTTGCCCGGATGATTTAATCGTTATCTAAGGTAAATAAGTTTCTTCTTTCAAAGGTGAAAGAGGCAAGGTCTGCCTTAGGTGAGGTAAAGAAAGGTAAAGAGGCACAGGAGAGGGCGGGAAAAAGTTGAATGGCTGACGCCAACGTGCGGCAAAGTATGTTCATGTCACAGGGCTAATAGTGAGCTTGGCCGATGTTGTGGCACTGAACCACAGGTTGCCAACAGCGCTGTGACCTGCACCCGCCCCCCATGCCCACCACCTGTACTCGCCTTGCGTGCCTTGAAAACCGCCGTGTGCCCGCCTAAGGTAGACGCCCGTGGCCGCTCAAAGGCACCCGAGGCAGGGAAGGAGTAAGGCATGTAGCTTTGTAGCTCTCCATTAGCCCCCCAGTCCGTTGTCTCCGAAAATCCTCGAGGTCCATCCCGCAGCTTCACACCCTTTCTTCTCCCATCCCTCCTTTTCCTCAAGTCATTCGCGTCGCAAGTGGAGGGAACGCGCCCAAACCGTATCGCTGAATGCCTTCAAAGACGAGAGAAGTAACCATGCCCAGATTTACCCTCCAGAGACACGAAACTAACGCGATTATAGACGTCCGACTCGGAGCGTTTGCCCGTCTGGTCCAAGGCAAGGAGGTCAGGGGCCCTCGAGAGCCCAGTTGCCATGATGCCCACGAGTACGAGAGCCACGCGGTCGCGCTTTTCCAGCCCGCATCAGCACGCCAACGGAGGAGGAGGAGGAGGATCGGAACCTGTCAAGAAGAGCAATGGAGCCAGCGAGGCATCGAGGACCTTCATGCAGAAATGGTTGGAGCCTACGGTGCAGAGCAAGCCGAGCTTCGAGGAGGCTGGATTGATGCGATACGGCGTCACCGAGAACATGGCGCCCCTGGGCACGCTGCCAAAGGGACCACAGGCCAAAAAGCCGGGCCAGGAAGTCGCGAATCCCGTCAGGAAGATTATCCTCAAGTCGAGCTCCGCAAGTTCTGCTGTCGCTGCTGCTGCAAAGGCGGCGGCGGCGGCAGCGGCAGTAGCAGCTGATGAGGCAGATGCGTCTTCCATGGCAAATCGCTCAGAGACACCGACACCGACACCCCCTCCGCGCCTGCCTACTCCTCCAGCCAACGCTCAAAAGGCGACCAGAAAATCTCTTCCCGCACGTGGTCTGGACGACGACGACGAGGACGAGGACTACACACCCAAGGCAGCCGCAGGAAAGAGCCAGGGCCGTCGTGCATCTGCCTCCATCTCACGCAAGAGTGTGTCGCGCTCATCGATAGGACGCCGTGCATCAGCTTCACTTCATCAAATGGCTCCCTCGAGCGACGCCGTGCAGCCCTCAGAATCGACGCCCGAGAACAAGGACGTCGTCGAGAGGGCTGTGGAGGTCGCAATCGACGAGGCGCTCCGGCATTACCGCTATCCCACTGCGTGGGCACTCCGGACCCTCTACGACGAAAATTCTTCTAACCCGGTCTTCCTCTCCATGTTTGAGGACGTTTACCACCAAACAGCCGACGAAGACACCCTCGACGAATTTTCCCGCCTTATCGAGGAGAAGAAGCGAGAAGGCAAGAAGGACAATCAGGCTTGCTACTTTTTTGTACCCCCTTCCACCAACTCGCGCTTCACCCCCCACAAGCCAAAGCCTGCGCCCTACGGCAATCTTCTCTCTCTCGACCTCTCAAAATCGGACGACGAAGACGACGATATGCCTCAAGTTACACCGACAAAAAAGGCCAGCAAGCGCAGGGAGATTCCGGAATCACCCATGGGCATGAGCATCGACGACGAAGAAGACGACGACACTACTTTGCTGGCAGCGGAAACCACCATCGCGACCATGACCCCGTCGCGCAAGCGCGCCCGAAGAGATTCTGCAAGCAGTGACTCGTCCTTGTCAGAGCTCTCTGCATCTCCGTCCCTGCCACCCGACTCGCCTTCGCCCAGCTCTCCGCCCGTTTCCGTGGCTGTTCAAGGCGATAGCCACAGTCGCCGTCACAGTGCCACGACGGCTGCCACGGCTGCTGGGGCCGACCCCGAGACCACCTTGACCAGCGCACCACCGCCAGCCGATCCACAGCCAATGAAGAGACGCGGCAGATCCCTTGCTGCTAAGGCGAGCGTGTCTGACGCATCCAACCCAAACTCACCCACCCTCCCCCCAAACGTATCTCAAGCTGCAGGGGCTAGCAACATGCCTGGTCGACTTTCTTCGCCCATTTTCCCCAACCTTTCGACGACAGCAGCACCCTCAAAGGCGAATGGCAAGAAGAACGCCAACAAGGACAAGACTCCTCGCGTACTGCCCAGCGACGATGCAACCACCCTGCGGAGGAGAGATGCACGCGATAGCACAGTTAGCCAGACGCCCCAGCCTGAGAGCCATATTCGCGGTTCCGACATGAGAAGCAGGGCTGGATCTATGGCCGCATCTTCGCCGGCAGTAAATTTGCGCAAGTCGGCAAGAACACCAGCGCCGAGCTCGAATCTGCCTTCGAATCTGACCCTGAGCACGAGAACGACGAGATCAGCAAAGAGGACGCACGACGAGATCGACAATACGAGCTCGCCGACTGCGCCGTCAATCCTCGGAGAGGTGACGCCCGCCACGAGCTCTAGGGCTGCGACACCGACGAATCTTCGCCCTACCAAGAAGCAACGGACTGGCTTGCGTATCAAAACTTCGTAAGTTGCCTGTTCCCCCTTTGCATCATGAAATTTGGGCCTCGCTGTGGCAAAGCGGATGACTTGACATGATGAGACGAGGGCGCCAGTGATGAGTGGCGCGAGCCTGGCAGCGTCGCACCGCAGCATCCTCGTCTCTGCCATCATCCGTCCGCCAAATCTCATCCGTGGTTCGCAAAATCAAGCTGGACATAGACTGATGCATTCTTACAGACCCATGAAGAAGAAGGGAGGCACTGCGGCTGGACTACCTCGTGCCAGCGGTGAGGGCGGTGCAGTTGCCGCCAACGGCGGTGGCCCAATCAACCAGGTAAGCAACCAGTCCAATAACGAATCCTTCAGCAGCACGGAGCTGCGGTCATTTTTCATCGATACCGCACCCTTACTGTTGCTGTTGCGTACGGGGAGCCAGGAGATGATGGGGCCGGGCGAGGGTCGGCGAATGGTGAGGGCATGGTTTTCGGGGGCCAAGGCGCACATCCCGAGGGATACTGAGTTTAGCGGCCAGTCCCGACCTCCCATTTTTCCCGGCCAGCCTGCACCCACACTCTTACTCATTTCCCGTAAATTGCCTCAACGACCACATTGCTGACACATCTCATCAGGATGAGAATGACGACTACTGCTCAGCATGCAGCGGCGTTGGAGAGCTGGTCTGCTGCGAGAACTGCTCCAGGTCATTCCATTTCGAGTGTGTTGACCTTGGGCTGGGCGACACTCTCCCCGAGGAATGGTTTTGCAACGTCTGTTTCAGCAGCAGATACCCCACCAGGGTGCCCGAACACAAGGGTCCCTTTGGCGGTTTGATGAACACTCTGGAGAAAACTAATCCTCGAGCCTACAAGCTGCCGCAAGGCGTGCGTGTGTATTTCGAGGGCGTCAAAGTCGGCCCTGAAGGCGAGTACGAGGATGTGGTAGTGCCCGCTAAGCCAAAGTAAGTTCCAATCTCTGTTCCCACTATCTCGCTGTGTTCCAAACATCTCATCCCGCCTCTCCTTGGGAATCGCTTCGACTGACAATTACTACAGGAAGAAGGGCTATGAGGAAGCTCCAGACTTCTTCAAGGTTCGAGAAGCTGACGGATCTGCCGTGCTATGCCACAATTGCCAACACCCGACCGCCGATAATCGAGCCATCATCCCCTGCAGCCTCTGCGGGCTTCACTGGCATCTGGATTGCCTCGATCCTCCGCTGGCAATCCCGCCTGTGGTGCGAACATGGCGTTGCCCTGCGCATGCAGACGACCTGTTGGCTACGTTGCCAGAGGAGCTTGCCCCAGCTCATCGCTTCCGGAAGATCAAAGGCGCCCCGGTCATCATTCCTGCCTTCAGCCGCGGCATGAAAAACAATGGCTTCATTGAGATTGATGATGATGATGAAGAATCCGAGGATGAAAATTCCGGTTGGAGCGACGTCAAAACCTTCGGTCGCGTCTACAAGCTGTCTTCCAAGGGCGTTGTCCTCGATTTCATCTCTCAGTCAGTTCTCTTAGATCCTTATTTGATTGTTTTCGAATTCTAACAGATCTGCAGGCTTCGGAAGGATGGCGCTGGTCACATCAAAGGCTTGCCGGCTTCGAACACCGTCCAGGCGCCGCCAGTCAGCGAGCCCATGAGTACTCGCTCACGTGTTGAGCAGCAAGCAGTGCTGAATTTGGTCGAATTGGCCTCCACTCAGCCCACTACCAAGCTTGACGAGCTCACAGAGGCATTGCTAGTAGGTCAAGAACTGTGTGGAACTGCAAGCACTTGTGACTAACACATTCATACAGACAAACGCAGAGCCAGCTATGCTTTCGCTCATGGCTCGTGGCAGCGTTAACAACTTTGCCAGCGGAGATCTGAATGTTACCGACAAGCAGAGTCTCCGCGCAATGCTAGCTCAGATGGAAGCCATGGCTGGTCGCATCCGAGGCTTGCTTGGAGACGACCAAAAAGACAGCGGTGTTTCTGGTATGGGCATCGAGGCCGATCAAACGGCGATCGACTGTGACCATACCAACGGCACTGTTAGCACCGGAGACGACGCAGCCTCGATTAAAAATGAGTCCGTGGAGCCCCCTGCCGACCTACCTACGCCAGCGACTACGACCCAAGATAACCCGGAGCCGATCAACAGCCTGGGCGAGAAGTCTTCGCAAGAGGTCCCCAACGACGCGAACGAAGATGATGTGCCCGACATGGATATCGACTAGGCTAGCGTTAACAGCGACTTCAACTATATGTTTAACTGATTATTCTTATCTTACCAAACACAACACACAAGGGTGGTGTTGAGACGCTACTTGGAAGTGGATGGTTCGCCTCGTCCCAGGACTAGGAGATCAGCAGCCAACACAGCCAATTGCGGATATAGCCCATTTCCTACTCTTTTCTTATTTGATTCCCCAAGACACGACCCCCACACGGATCTGGAGTTTGGGAGGGCTCAAAACGAAGCAGCGAGCAAGCGCAAAGAAAGACCGGTGAAGGAAGACCGGTCATAGAATCGAAGCGTACCGAGACAGGTACGACAGAAAGCGACATAGGCTTCGAGCGACCCGACAAAGCAAGCTCGCATAGTCATTCATGGCTTTGTAGCCATGGAGAGTGCAAACGGGATGAGCCGAAGCACGTAGAATGTGCTGAAGGCGAGAAGGGGATGGGCATCTGGTTATCTGCCCACGCTGCCACCTGGGGGAAGGAATCGTGTGAAGGCCAGCTTTTTGTACCTCACTTTCCTATTCACCTTTTTCTCCAATTTTCTTTTGCCCTTACTGGAATTCCCTCACACCCTGCCTCAATCTTGTATCATAGGCCATTACCTCTTCTCGTAATATCTCTCTTTTGGACCAGCAGGCAGGGCTGGGCTGGCTAGATTACCCAGGGAAACAGAGCACTTCTTCTTTTTTTTTTTCTTCCAGGGAGGCAAGAGCGAGAAATCCAATTTGGGAAATGGGATTGATGTGACCTGAAGCCGGTCGGCGGTTTTGAGTACCTGGGGTCCGGGCCAGGTTGAAGGAGAAAGCGGGAAAATGGGGCAAATCCCGAGAGACGAAGGGAGGGTAGCCTGACAAAAGGCCCAGTAGATAGAATGCTACACCGCATGATCTACATAACCTACCATTGCTGTTCCCTCCAATGCCGCAGTTGTCATTTGTGAGAAAACTCGATACCTTTTCACGAGCCTACCTAGGCTTTCTCTTTTTGCAAGAAAGTTCCTATACTGTCTTTTCATCCAAAATGACATTGCATGCATGGCATCAGTAGTAATCTAGCTCATCGTCTGCTCTATCGGTGACAGACGGGGGACAATGAAGAGAGCAGAATCCCCCGAAACCTGGCTATACCTGACGACATTCGCCTCCAATGATCTCGGCCTTTCTCCAGCGTTATTTCCATACGCACATTGACGTTCTACGAGGCCAACTACTTACTCTACGTTCGGCACAACCTCCGTAGCGAAACCATCTGTTCGACGGGAGAAAACCAACCTTCTTTCTTCCTCCCTCAAATCATTTCAATGCCTTGAGATATCTAGACCGTTTACCCCTCACTAGCTACATCTCTCGCAGTGACGGAAGTAGTAAATGGCCCAAGTCAGGGCTTCTCGCTCAACCTCACTATCACGTTGTTCCTTCTTGCACGGGAAACGATAGGACCCGAGATATCTCAAGTGGCAATATCAACTAGCTTTTACGACAATGCTTGACTAACAATACCTTATACTCATGCTATCTAGTATGAAGAAAAAAACACTACAAAAAAGGAAGAAAACTCAGCAGCCCAAGGTAAGAAGTTTGCGTGGCTATCAGGAGTTCTTTTGCCTGGCTACCTGACTGCATGCCTAGCGAACGAACCCGGCAGGTCGCGGCATACACACATGAATGCTTTGACTGCGGAAACACACTCTCGACTCCATAGCTCTCTCATAACAAAAAGCAGCATATGCGATTTTTTAGGGGGTTGCGTCTTGACTGCCATGCGAAGGTGGGGCTTCAGGACAACATCCGGCTACCCTCTCTCGGTTTTTCTATATACCACGCCACAAGCAAAGTGAGGGTAGCAATAGTAAAGCTTGTAAAAAACTTCCCCAGCGGAAAGAAAAGAAAGGACAGGAAGAGTGAAGTGGCAAGTGGGGGGCTTCTAGAGCCCCAAGTGAAACGAAAATAAAAAACCCTCTTCGTTGCTGCGACCACATTTCCGGAGAGGCAGCTTCATGTTGTTGCCCTGTCTATCATCGAGACATGGCCTCCTCCACATCTGGAGTGGCTTGCGCATTTTCCTGACACGTTGGGCGGTGTTACCCCTGCAAACATTCTTACATGACGATCCAGATCAACCAAACTCCTGTGCCGATCCCATACCAAGCCATCCCTTACCAAGCGAAAAAAGAAAAAGAGCGGCATGAGCCAGTCAGACCCTCTCTGACCAGCAATTCGTCTGTACAAAAGGCGTATGAATCATCGCTTTTCAACTCGTCAGTCACGTCGTGCTCTGGCTTGGTGGAGAGGGGTTGCGAATTGGGGATCGCTTACTCGGCCACGTCTTCCGTTGACTTGCTCCTGCTGCATGTACGCCATGTTCTGCATGCCGCCCATGTTGCCATAGCCACCATATCCCGACATGCCCATGTTCATACCAAATCCAGGAGGTGCGTATGGTGCCTGACCGGGAGGCATCTGAGGAAGCTGAGTCGGCGGCTGAATAGGGCTTCCGTTGGCCAGATTCTGGCTGCGGTACTGGTCAATGGACGGGCTTGGGCTGCTATACCCTCCAAAGCCTGCCTGCATCGGCGGGAAGAAGTTGTTGATGGGGGGCGTTGCACGGTTGAGCATGCTCTGTTGGTACTGAAGCTGCTGGAGATTCGCAGGCGTCGGCATGGGAGAGTTGGATTGGTTGTACATGGGATTCTGAACACCATAGGGAGGGAAAGGGGCCATGCTCGCGTCGGCAGGCTCACTGCGTTGACCGCCAAATCCCAACTCATAGTTGGAAGGGTTGACGGGCTGGTTCAACGAGTTATAGTACTGCTGCTTGCTCATGTGAGCAGCCTGCTGCTGCTGGTGGTTGTTCATGTTGGCCTGGCGGGAGGCCGGTCGCTGCCGCTGCTCATTGTTATTGCTGTTATTGCCAGAGTTGCCATGGCCGTGATCGCGGCCACCGCCACTGTTGCGAGTCGACAGGCCGACCTCGTCCATCAAACGCTTGTAACCTTGACCGGGCTGGGCCTTGATGCGGACCAACACATTCTTGACGTTCTCAACCACCTGGCTGCGAATGCTCTCGTCAAAGAACGGCGTGGTGAGAACCTTGAAAATCAGGGTGGCGCCGCAGGCATGGTCACTCAGGATCGCCTCGAGAATTTGGTCGTTGGGTGTGAAGAACAAAGCCTTCAAGATGGTGTCTCGCGCCTCGGGCTCGGCCTTTTGGTTAATAACCTTGAGCACGGTGAGGTAGGCGACCTTGTGAGTGCACAAGTGGACGAGGCAAGGCACAAGCTGGGGGGACAGAACAGTCCTGCGCTGAGGGAAAGTGCAGGTATCCAAGAACCAGGTCAACAAGAGGGCGCCGTTGGCGTTGGTAGCGAGCTGAACGCTGTGCAAAGCGATCGCGGCAGCCAGCATCCGCTGCTGCTCCTTGGTGGAGTGGTGGCTCTCCAAGCAGGCACGCATAGCTCGGGCACCGTAGCGGCCCTGAGAAACCTCCCACATGCGGCTGAGCATGGTTTCGAAGATGAAGTCATTGAAAGGAGCACCGAACTTAAGGCACCCTTGAAGAACATAGTTGCCGTACTGGTCCAGGAACAGAGGGATGGTGTAGGGTCTGAGGTGCTCGACAATCAAACTCATCTGGTGCGGGGTCTTGCAAACGTCGATAATCTTCTGGGCAGCCCAGGTGCCGTTCTTGTGTACGCCAATCTCCGCCATGTGAGGAGCGATCTCGGCCAGCATCGCGTCACGAAGGTCATCGGAGCAGTGCTCAAAGAGCTTCTGTACAACAGTGTTGCCAAGGTAGTCGGACGCTAGCTCGGCAATCTCTGGCAGCATATCGAGAGCGGTGGTCTCGATCTCAGCCTGGGAGAGGCTCTGGTTGTCGATTCTCTTTCTAATATCTCTGAGTCTCGGGGCATCGTGGACGCGGGTGTGGGCCGGTTCCCGGATGGGGGGGATCTCGTCGATGAAGTTGGTGAACTGAATTGATGACTGAAGACTGCGGGAGATCTTGGCAGCATCCTCCTCGGTGGCCTGGAACTGCTTAACGATGCGCATGATGTCACTCGTCATTTCTGACAGAGGAGGCACAATGGGAGCAGCATTAGCTGACTGGGCCGATGCGTTTGCGCTCTCGCCAGCGGTACCGGGGACTGCATTCTGCGCATTGTCCTGGTTCTTCGCGAACGGGTCGGGGCTGGGCGAGGGGAAAACGCCATCGTGGCCGGGCGTGTTCGAGGCAGAAGGTGGCTTGGCAAAGTTGATGCGAATGGGTCCTGCTCCAGGGAAGATTTCTTTTCCGTTCATGCTGGCTTTCGCAGTGATGGCGCTCTCCATCCGCTCGAAGTTCACAAAACCGCAGTTCTTGTGCGTGAGAACACGAGCAGATAGAATGTGACCGTATGCCTTAAACATCTCTGTCAAAGTCGATGTAGTAGTGGAAGTCGGGATGCTGCCGAGCCAGAGGGCGCTGGTAGGACCCTCAAGACCCTGGTCCTCGGCATTGAGCAATCCCGCATTGCGGCTGCTCGACCTTCCCAGGTTCATAGCAGCCACAGCTTGCGGGAGGTCGTCAAACTCCTTCTCATCCGGCAGACGGATCTCTGCAGGAGGGACGGCGTTGCCCATGCCGTTGCCGGACATGTAGGTTCGCATGAGGCGAGAGCCAGGAGTATCGAGGACGCCGGCTGTTCGGGCACGAGGGCGCGTAGCTTGGTTGGCAAACGCCTGGACAGCCAGATTGTGGTTATGGATCGCAGCGTTCGTAGCTGCGAGCTGATCCTGGAGGTGGGCGACATACTGGCTCTCAAGAGTCATGTCCTCGAACTCATCGTCCTCCTCGTCTGCGTACTTGTCCTTGTTGTTGACCGAGTACGAGCGGAAACGGTTAGCCTTAGTAAATTCGTTGAAGCTCGGAATATACGGTGTTGCCAGCTGGGCGCGGGGAGGCTGCGGCGTCTCAGCAAGTCCCAAGTAGTCCAGCGTCCTCATATGGACATCGCTTTCTCCGCCCCCCTCTCTGGAAATCTGGGATTGCGTGGGCGAGCTCGGCCCATTGGTCGAGCCGATGCTCGCAATGCTCGCAAGAGTCATGCCCCTATCGCGACCCGTTCCGGTAGGGTTCCAACTGCTGAAAATGGACGGTCCAAAGGGAGAGCTGGTGCCGGGGATCTGCGCGAAAGGGCTCCGCTGAGGCATTGAGCCTGCGCGGAGGCGGGAGAGCAGAGCAGAGTTGTTGGAAGCCGTGTCTACCGGCTCGAGACCGGGAGACGGGGATTTGAACGGGCTGTGGGACGGAGTTGGCCGGGATGATTTGGGAGCCATAGCCGGAAGGTTGAGCAAGCCATTGCCTACACCGCCGGGCGAGAACCGCGATGGCACGGTTCCAGCACGGGCACGTCTCGCCTGAGGCATGGATTCGGGGGTGGGCAATTGGGCAAAGTCAGGAAAGCCATCGGTTGGCGACTCGGGGATGTTCTCGCGGAGGGGCGTAGAGTTGCCGCTGGTCGGCGGACCGCCCCAAGGATTTACCGGCAATCCGGGGACGCCTTCTTGAGCTTGAATTTCGCGGGCTCTGTCGGATTTTGGTCAGCAAAAACGGATGCTCACTCGCAGTGTGGCAGAGCGAACGAACCTCTTGGAGTACAGCCTACTGGAGCCGGGCATCTCGTGCGACGGAGAGCCAGCCCCTGATCGCGAGGCGCTAGCCATCTTGCTAGAGTGATTCAGACCGCCTGGCAGGCCGAATGGTGATCGGACAGATGAACCAGCGGTCGGGTCAATGGGGGATGTGTTGTTGGCGGTTGGTGAGGTGGACCGATTCTGTGTGGCAGATTGGGGCGGGTAACCAATGGCCAGGTGATCAGATCTAGTTGACATTATCAATTATCTAGGCCAAAGCTCATCAGAAAATTTGTGACACTAGAATTTTCCCAACGGGTTGCTGTCGTTGACGAATTGAGCAATGCTCTCCCGGTCGACGGTTGACAGGCGCGGGGGAGAAATGGACCCAATGAATTGTGGACAGCTTCGAGACCGTAACGTCTCGTATTCCACAGTCGGGGGTTTCGAGGGAGGGTGACGGCACGGTGCTGTGTCAGTTCCCAGCGTCTCTTCCGGGCGAGTATTGAGCGGAGTGTCCGGAGCTTCTGCTATCGAGCTGTCCAATTTCGGTGGGCAGAGCAACAATGGTAGGCGTAGAGCAGAGCAGAGGAGAGGCGCGCGAAAGAAGAATGGTGTGGTCGTTGGAGCCTTTTTGTGCGGTAAGGAATGTTCGTCGAAAGGTCGAAAGAGTTGAAAGGTCGTGTTTGTGTGTGTTTCCAGGTATTACAAGGTACGCCAGGCCAGCCAGTCGGTCGGTTGCAAAAGGGCTGCTGGGTGCTCGAGAAAATAAAAGGAGAGTTCGACGTCGGTCGGGGGGAGTGAGGTCAAGGAATGTCGGGGGGGACAAGTGGGCTTTAGACGTGGACGTGGACGTGGACGAAAATCGGGCGCTGGGGGTGATGGAAAGATTTCTCTTGCCAGGCACTCGGGTGGCCGTTTTGTGGTCGCGTAGCTTTTAGCGGTGGGCTTGGGTCAATGTGGGTGCTTGGTGACGCCGGTTGCTGGTGGTGCTGCTGTTGCGATGCGCGATGCGGATGCGGATGCGTAGCGTTGCGTCCTTTTGGTCTGGCCAGTCTCTCGGATCAGATTCCACAGGTTTCCAGTGTGTCTAGACGTCGAGGGTCCCAACAAGCAACCTTGGACGATGGAATTGTGTGGTGGGCGAAAACCAGCTCGTTGTCCTTTCCTCCAGATGATCTTTTTGAGCAAGACGTAAAAAGAGAGAGGAAAGAAACAAAAGTAAACGGTCTCAATATACAGGCTTCATTAGTATAGGGACGATGAGGCCTGGAGAAAGGGATAGGGGGTTTGGGGGTGTGGTTGAAGATGGGGAGTGTGGGAGTGGGAGAGGGTGAAAAAAAGAGACACGAGCGGAGGAGTAGGAGGATATGTGAGTTGAGAGGCTTGATGGTGAAAGGGACCCTTTGGCGGTTGGCCTTTGGTCTGGAGTGTTTTGGTGTGTTCCGGTACAAGCAAAGCAACGCAAGCAAGCAAGTGCAGAGAGCAGATGCAGGACAGGAGACGGGAGTTTAGACGACTGGCCAGTAAGGACACTTTGTTAGGGGGTAAGGAGGGACGGTGAGGCAGGGGGAGGAAGGTGAGGTACCTCTGACTGCTTGCATCGGAGGAGGAGGTACTTGGACCAAGGCGTCTTCTTTCTCTTACAGAGAAGTGACTCGTGGTACTTCTGAGAGATGAGATGTACTCCGTACCTTTCACAGTTACACAATTGACCAGACCCGACCTTGGACACATCATACCTACCTTTCCATCCTCTCCACTGAGAAATAGGTACCAGACGCCGCAGCTCTATCGTCGACCCAACTTCAGACCTCAGACCTCAGACCTCAGGCATAAAGAGGATACACAACATCGGCCAACGTGGAGTGTGAGGTAGATGGGCCAGCAAGGCGAAGCAGCAAGGCAAGGTACGGCGTGCCTGATGTAAACCAGCGCCCGGCAGGGCCACCGTCGCCGCCATCGTCACTCTACTGCGTACACATTACTAGCACCACACGCATGCCATGCTGCGTGAATAACTTGGATCCACGGGCAGAGAGAGGTACGGAGTAAGGTAAGGTAAGGTAGACTGAGGTTCAGGGGATTGGTGGTCAGCATCAGGTTTCCGAGTGGGGAAAGGTACATGGCTTCATGGAGAGGACCACAGTCACACGTCAGTACTCCGTATCTTCCTCAGATTTCCCTGGACCCTCACATCTCCCGCCCGCCAGTCGTCACCTTCTGTCTCTTTCTCCAAACTTAGGGCAGTTTAGACCAGGGCAGACAGCTCAGAGCAAGACAGGGGACTGGCTGACATGATGCAGCGCCCATAACGGGGCCAAGCGGAGGGTTGAGGTCAGTGTGAAACGGCAGCCGATCGGCCTTAGTGTAGTCTTTTAGGGGTGAAAGAGCCCCAGCCTTGTCAATGCCTGACCCGAAGCTCAAGGCACTAAGGTAAGGGAGAGCGTCCAAGGCCTTACAGACTTCCAGTCTAGTTGTCGCTAGTTGGCATATCATTTTTGCTCTTCCAATAAACAACCCAAAGAGTACAAATTGGTAGTCAACAGTGACAATTAATCAACATCCTTTGTGGAAGGCATCAGATCTCGCTTGTCGCCTACTCTTTCCCTTTTTTTTTTTTCTTCACTTTCCAAGGCACCTCATGCCTTCCCCTCTTCTCCCCAGGCTCCCCCCTCCTCCCCTTCCCTTTCCATGTTCCTTACTCCTTCCTCACCCGGGCAGACCTAGGATAAAGTGGAGACCGGTACATAACCTCTTCAGGGAGGAAGGGACGAGGGACAACGGCTGAGCGGGACAACGATTTGACACTCGTGGCGGTCTATAGTGGAGACCTTCCCTCACCTGTCCACATTTTCTCTCCATATTTTTCCAACTTTGCACCTTGCCATCCCCCCGTTGCCCATGGAATGTTCGACATGGAATGGAAGGCGGCAAGCACCGTCCATTTTCCATACACCGACAGGCAAGACCAAACACTCTGACCCAAGAGTCAAGACTCAAGAGACGGGGACAATGGTGCGTGCGCCGCGTCCGCCGTCCCCGTCAGGTCCGTACCCTCTGCTTCGAGACAAAAGTGCCAGGTTGCAAGTCGAATGCCGAGAGCTTGCACTCCGACGATGCCGCTAGACGACTTTGGGCAAATCTAAACAGCGCAACAACGTCTCAAATAGTCCATAACCACATACAACCAACTACCTCACCTCACTGTACGGAGTACCTTATTCTGGATAGAATTGTGCAGGAATCCTATTACACCACCACACCCAGTCTGCTCCTCGGGTGGTTACGTGGACACGCCTACATTCTTCGCACAATATCGTTGGCATGGTCTGCCTAAGGAATACCTTCCCCTACATGTGAAGCGTCGTACGAAGCCTAGACAGATTGGGGCTCCTCGTCGACGCCGTGCCCGGCAGCCTTACGGCCAGGAGAAAAGAGAACCCCGGCTCTTATTTGGCCTACTATTGTCGTCCCTTCCGAGCTGGATTGAGCATTTCAGCTGCAAGAGATGCGGGCGGCGATGCGATACAACCCATGGAACCGACCTCTCTGCCAGGGACTTCCATCGACACTCCCTCCATCAACAATACGCCCATTCCATCTCTGCGACCGTACCCCTTATCCAAAGCGATGGGACCACCGTCAAGTAAAGCCTTCAGACTGTCATTAGATGTGACATCCCTCCTTGCCCGCCGGGATACTGACCCTTTCAAATTGCATACTACATGCTGGCGCAAAATCTCCATCCAGCACGCACGCAACTTCGCCTCATCCTCCACCCAAGTTGAGTAGCCGACTGGCTCCCCACTGATTTGAGTATAGGGATATGGCCTGTCGTCAACTGCAATTGGGGGTCAAACTGACTTGACAGTCTCGATCCGATTCACAATCGCAAACCACCCGCACTGCACGGGCAAGCCACTACACTACGCTCACGCTACACTATTCCCTCGGAGGAACATGTCCAGCTCCTGACGTTGCCTTGAGAGCTCAGAGTTGCAGTACACACTGCAGAACCTTGCCGGCCACCAAACTAGTTGCCCGCTCCAGGCGAGCCCATGTCATATAGCCGCGACATCTTGGTGTCTAGGCCGGCTGTGTCAGTCCGTCAACTCTTTCGGGAACTGCGGCTTTCAAGAAGCCTTCAAGACCAAGAGTGACGGGGACAGTGAGACCCCGTGGCAACACAATTGCCCGCGCTCTAGTCGCAGGCTGTGTCAATACCGACTTCGCATCTTGATACTGTCACTCAAGGAGCAAGCACTTTATTGCTGAATTACCATGACGAAACTCAGTCAACTTCGCTCAACTTCGAACGCCACCGCCCAACACTGTCAATCAAGACTTTGACGATGGTTGGTAATTGCCTGTGCAGCAAATGACAGACTACCTGACTTGCTGTCACGGTTAAATTGACACAAGCCACCAATACCCCCGGCTGGTGCTCGAGGCACGCCGTCCATGAAGCCAGTCCAAGCGGCTGTGTGCTCTCTCAGGCTCGTTCAGGGGTTGCCCTCCGCCATCGCGAACCACAGCTTTGGATACCTCCAATTCAAGTTCATGGTCGTCTGCGAATATGATAAGGAACAAAACGGCTGTTTTCCTAAGCCTCGGCTTCCAACCTCACTTGATAATTCTTGAGCATCAAGTTGACGCACACTTTGCGTTCAACATTACAACACCACGTCGCTACCTGACTCGAACGCGGCCCCTTCTACACCTTGCCCACGGTACTTTGTCGAATCATCGGTGCAGCAAAAGATACTTTCACTCGCAAAATAAAAGGGGGAGGTGGCCACCAACAGACAGACAGCAAAGCTTGCGACGTGCTACCCAATGGGGCCTTTGACATCGACGGGCCAAGGCCCAGCTTCACCAAGGGCCGCCAGGTGCAACACTGCAAAGGCGTGATGGAGATGCTGGTCATTTATGCTCCAGCTCGTCGCCCCCTGATCCTCCTCCAATGACAACCTCGGACGACGCTTGTCAGAGGATCTGCTAAAAATTCTGAAACATGGCTTTAGTCTTGCTTACCCTTGCAACGCTCGCTACCTACAGACGACCATGCACACGCCCCACGCCACGATCTGCCGCCAACGGCTCCCGCTACAACGCAACCCCCTTCCAATGCATTCCCTCGTATTTCGCTGTGGGCTGCGGGCATTGCTGTTGGATGTTCGAATGGTGGCTATCTACAGGACCATGGACGAAGGTCGTGGGCACTTCGATAGCCTCTATCCGTACGAATACAGACCCCCAACAGGTCAGGTATGCAGTGTCTTAATATGGCCCGGTATCGTCTCCGGCTCCTGAGCCGACAACCGCCCGCATGCTCGCCCGATTAGGCCAGGGGACGAGCTGATCCTCTGCTTTGGGAAAAGACACTCCAGACGCACAACTTGGATGCTGGCAAGGCCTCGTGTCGGAAAAAAGAAAAGAAGACTCACAATCTGCGCATGCTGCGCTACGACACACTGAATCAGCCGTTATCAAACGTTCAAGGGTTGAACGATGGTTTGTCTTCCATCCCAAGACAAATCCTTTGGGGTCCATTGGCCAAGCTTCCGTCCTGCTGTCCCGTTCACATCCAGACCTCTTGATTTGACGAGACACACCTGCCATCGCAGCTCTTGACTTGGATCGGTCATCAACCAAGATACGAATACCTACCTACCTTACACACACCAGCCGCTGCCCCTCGAAGCTGGCCGATGAGAGTGTGCCCGTCCTCCATCTGCACCAGCTCGTTTCACTGGCACTCTTTCGTCCTGGACCCCACCCAATCCTGTGTCGAGGCTTTCCGCCTTTGGTTCGAGTAGACAAGGAGGCCCTTCTTCTCGTTCATGTACGCTCTGTGGCCTCTACTCAGCGAACATCGGACATCGTCCCCCCCTCGCTTTCGTCCCAGATTCAGGATGAAAGTGCCCTACCTACTTGACCTATACATATGCAACACGACACGGACCTTTTCAAGTTTCCAGCCTCAACTTACTCCGCGGCCTCCGCCGAAACTGGCGCCAGAGCCCTTTTCCGCCACGTCCGTTGTGCGAGTGACGCGTTCCGCCGCGCAGCCTCAATGCATTACCGCCTACGGCATGATCGGTCGGCCGTCACTCGCAGCTCGTTGCCCGCACCGCCGATGCGGCCCTCTTTCTCTTCACGACCACGAGGACCAGTCTCGGCTCCAAGCTCATCCTGGCCCGCTGTGCAACGAGACAGAAAGGCGCGGTGGCTTCGGTACTTGGCCAAACAATCTATCAACTCATGCACCGCGGTCCCAGGTTCGGGGAGGGTGCCCGCCACAGTCAATTCCTGACCCTGGGCTTGCTTTCGTGAGGCTCAGAGAGGGGGCACAACGGAGGCTAAACTTCCCC